ATTACATCTGATATATATGACAATTACGGTGTACATAGCATTTATAATAGAAGGGTTACTAAAACAACTTATAATAACTTAATTTAAATTACGTCACCTTAGGACACAAGTAACTCCCACGTGCCTGTAATCACCAGCTCCCTTCAAAACTTTGTCAGCAGAAATAGGTTAGATAAGCAGTAGTTCCCAGTACGAACTTACATACGTACTTCACAAGGGGCGTTACTGTTACTAAAAAAGCTTTTTAACTTGCTTAACTAAAGCTATTCCGATATTTCGATTTTGCGTTAAGTATGGTTAATCCCGAAAGGCTCTACCGCGAAAAATACTTCACATGTTTATATGCAAATTGTACGCACCCCAAAATCTCACATGAACAAGTAACATTTTGTATTTTTAGATAATAATAATAATAATAACGCACACAATCAACATAGCCCCGCACTAGAGAAACCCTGTGTCGCGGGTGCCATGGACACACACATAGACAACCACAAATTACACCCAAACTCACGAGAGAAATAAATGTAGGTCATACAAATATTTCTCCCGGCCCGGTAATCGAACCTGTGACCTTTGCGTGGCAGTCCAGCATGGTAACCGTTCGGCCACGGACGCAGTTAGTTAATAAGTTGGCAACTACGATACGTTCGTTATAGGGTTCAAGTTGTATTTACCGATTCAAATTATATTCAAGTAGGTTTTCTTGTTATCGAACATCTGGTGCTTCTTATTCGCCGTAATATCCATACAATTGTAAATAAATGTAATTTATGTAAGTATAAAATGCGTATCGTCGGTATAAATAATGCAAACATTGGTCACCCGTGAAGCAGACTTATGTCGAATGAATAGGCAAATTGTATGACCAAAAAAGCAAATCTATATATATATATATATACATATATATATATTTATACAGATTATAAGAAGCGGACTTTTTTTAGTCGTGCGCCTAGGTACAAAACCGACACGCATGTTCATATCAGTTGCGGTGCTACTCAGAGCTTTAAATTGCTAAGATCTGAGGGGCAGTGCCCCTGCGCTTATTACTGCTTGGCGGCAGAAATAGGCAAGATGCAGGACTTCCCTGGACGACCTCTTTCACAAGGAGCTCTACTGCTACTAAAATTTAAACAATTTGAGTACATTGGACAAATAACGGATTTGCATATGAAAAAGGAAATTATAAAATAAAGCGTAATAATTGTGTTATGGATATTGCTGTGGACAAAGTTGTAAGGGTTCTGGTGAAATTACAGGCACATGCGACTTGTCAATTTATGTCTCAGAGTGACCGGCAGTGCCCAAAGGATTTTGGCGATTTAAAGTTCTGAGTGGCACTGCAACTGCTATGGATGGGCGTGTCGCTTACCACCAGGCGCGAGACTTGCTCGTCCCGTGACTTGGTATCATAAAAAAAAACGTTCAATATTTACAAAGTTATTGCCTATAATACAATTAGTCGAATGTGCTCTCAAATCTCTAATCTTATGTGTATACAATAAAATAAAATATACCTTTTGTTCCCTTCATAAACTCATCACTGTAACAAAGTTTATGCTGGGTTACTCGTAAATGTTAATGCGGTTTAGATTTATCGCAATTTTGTGTGATCTTGTTAGAAAAATATGTAAAAATATAATTTTCTAAAAATGTTAGTGTATTGTTATTATTATAATATTATTTTGCTTTTTACTGAGCTACCAAAACCTTTAGCGTAAATAAAAATATGGAAACAACCGAATGAAATACTGAAAGTTTCGAAAAATCTCGCTGACGTGATACTGCTCTACCAATTTACTTATACTTTACCGAAAATTATTGTTAGCAATTTTTTACCGAAAATTACCTATTACAAATTTAAAAGCGACCTAGCTTACAAATTTCATAAATTTTGGCGCTTGACAACATATGACATACATCGGTAACTTAGTTTTTTTTTCCGAATTTTAGTATTATTCTGAAGTATAGTTGTTTTCATAGAATTGCGATTTGAACAACTTTTGATTGTTTGCTAAATATGAGTAATTTTGTTGGTATATTCTGTGTTTATTTTTCAGTAACTTATTTTAACTAAAGTTATCCTTGGTTCGCTGCAATTTCATTTGTTTTTCGGAATTTTATTATTTCCCAAATTTTAAAACAAATAATAAAAATGTACTCAGAGATACAATTCTAAATGACTCTGAAATCTATCTTCACACGAAGTTACAACACCTAAATTAGTGTATAACTTAAATTTACATCGTAGACACCGAAGTATTCGCAATAAAACCCTTAACTACACAGCGAGACTTATTAGAATTACGAGAGCGTAGGACCGGAGGAAACGTCCGAGCAGCCGGCGGTGCTGGCGGCGGCGGCGCGGCGGCGCGGCCGGTTAGTCACAGTCATGCGTGGGCGCTGATAAAATGTATACGTGAACTATTTACCAGATTCGCCTACTTTATGTTTAAGCAAAGGAACTAAGAACATTCACCTTCCTCGCTATGTTACCGCACTTAGTGGTGCTTAGTCACATCAAGCCTTTATATTATGCCTGTATGTATTCACATCACTTAATTTGGGGTCAGAGCAACGTATATGATATTTCCTAATATTTATTTATTATTTACATATATTAAGTTTAACACTGTCAATACAGAGTTACATAGAATTAGTTTTTTGTGCCTGATACTAACTTACCGTACCTACCCTTTATAATGGTTATGGTAATGAAACAACTTTATTTATATTATTTACTACACACCATTTTTATAGTCTCGTGACTCCAGTTATACGGGTGGTTTCAAGTTGCAAAATTTATCTAAAGACAGAGTTGACAGTGGCGTGTGAATTAATCATGTTTATTCTGTGCTCTATGTGGAAATTGATGTGTTTCATAACACGAGGCTCATAAGACGCTGCGATAATCGACCGAAGGCTGTTCTTTAATTAGTTTGAGACAACCCGACCGAGTTTAAGTTTAAGCGACTACTGGTCACTAGCGATGCACACCCGTCACGATCGGATGACGCATCTTAAGATATTTTGAGGTTTCTGTAATAATTTAGATAATAATAGACTCTTTCTCCTCAAAGTTAGAAATAAAATATTGTTAATAAGTATCTTTCAAATGTTAATTAAAACATAATAAATGACTGTAATAACTTAATTAACGGACAATTGCGTATGCAAAACACGAACGAGAGACATAAAATTTAGCAATAAATCATTTGCAAAGAACTATAGGCGCCAGAACAGAAGATGGAGACGCCACAAAACTATTTAGATTTTTTACTTACAAATAAATGTATGCAAATTTATTTCGTATCGTGCAAGGTTATTGACACAGTTGCGTCTAAAATAGTGAATTACTTTTGAATTGCTAAATAACGAGATATTGCTAAATTAATGACACGATCTAGTTTTCTATTTTAATAAATTACGCAATCAAAAATATCATAAATCATCGCAGTTCTAATTATTAAGTCTCATGCACACTTTATATTCGACATGCTCGGTAAATCGTAATCCTCTAAGATATCGATACTCATTCGTAAAAAGTAGAGTTTATGACTGTACCGCATGCAAATTGAATTTCAATGCCCACAAGTTAGGCTAAATGCGTCGCATATTTGCCCGTACACCAGTACATGAACATTAAGTACCAGCTCAATAACTGCTCAATAAAAACAATTTAAAACATTAAACATTTAAAAGACATTAACGTAATGTTATCGGCGGTCAATCAGGGATCTTGCGATATGGCTTTCGAACGTGAACCATTGTGTAGTGTTTTACTAAGAATTAAATTTTTTTCGGTGGTTACGGGTGGCTTGCTACGAATTCGTTCAGTTAATTAGTGTACTCGAACATAAGACGACCTATGTTAATTAAACGTTTAAAATAAATCCATCGTGGAACTTATAGACAACATGGATTTACTAAGCTGCCGGAAAACAGTGAGTTCATGACGAATGATTTGGATTTTTAATATAGTTTTTAACTGTTTCAATTGTTACCAGACAGTTGATCGAGATTTTTTTTATTAATTGTTTATAAGCGGTTATGTCACGTATTTTATCACGGATGTAGATTTTCTTCAGCGTTTGTCAAAATATAAACATAAAGGACATACAGTACAGTCACGTGAATCAACGTGTATGGATACACGTAAGGAAATGGAAATTGAATTTCCGTAGAAAGTATTAGTCATATATTGTCCAATATAAAATATTAATAGCAAAAAATATATCATGTTTATTGAGATTAAAATTAAAAACAAATCAACATACTGAAGATTATTTTATTATTACTACTCTACGTGTGCACGTATTTTAAGAAATTTAATAAGAACTCTGTGCTTAAAATATGCAAGAAAACTTGTTTAGGAACGGCAAAGTTTTTTAGTAATTATTGCTTTTTAATTTCTTTCCGTTTACGAAAAGACAAAGGTTGAACACCATACAGCCAAATGGTGGTGAATATTTCTTTTGCTAGTTTTAGGTAGATATGTAAAAGTCAAGTCTTCAGTCCATTACATTCTATTAGACTTCTTCTTCGGTTGTCATAAACGAGTGGAGTCAATTCAAGCTGTAGGGTCATCGATAATAACCTCTTGAAAGAAAAATGAAACAGCAACAATTACATTATCTTAATAATTGAATATGTTTTACATTATTTATATTATTATTATAATTTCATTAACGTAACAAGTACGTCATGACAATGGCTTGCCGTATTTACAATTAAGTTTCAATAGTAACCATTGACTTACAAATAAAGTATTTAAGCCATTATTTATATTTTTTTAGAACCAATGTCATGGTTATTCAAAACAATTATCACTAATTGCATGATTTTTTGACCACGGTGTGACCTGTATTACTCTCCCGATATTCAACTACAAACCACATACGTTAAGACGGTCCAAAGTGTAAACCCCATGTGCTGTTGGTTGTATTTGTTTATTCATGTGACCTTTATTTTGACTGCTGCCATCTTTCGTCTTTCAGATCCTATGGACAGCACTCTCTCTGGCGCTAGGTTACGAGCTTCAAGGTCAAATTGTCAGAGGCGTGCCATGTGTTAAGCGGAATTATCAACTTTATTGTCCAACCGCTGGGAACACTTATCCCTTGTAAGTATTATTGCATATTTTATTTGGACTGGTTTTCTTATTACCGCACTTAAGCTATTTATAGAATAAGCATGAATAGGGTAGCTATTCTACTATTAACCTGGAAGGTCATAATACGACATTCCTATTATTATATCACAAAAGTATTGTTCTGGAAAATTTCGGAAATGCAAACATTTTGTTTTTCACTTTCCGTTCAAATAAATGAATAATAACAACATCAACAACAACAACAATTAAATAAATTCTCAAACATATTCACTAAATTTATGTAATTATTGCGTTTCCTTTACTTGTAGTATTCACTTATATAAAAACTTTCTGTCTTTACATATTTTCTATATTTCAAAACTTGCACTATGAAAAACCTAAAGAAACAGAGGTTGCAGACATTATGTACACTTAAACTTTTGTAAAATAAGTACATATTACCATATCATTTCTAAATAAATGTAATTTTTCATCAATTCTCATCAATATTTTCTTACTGTAATTTTATTATCTGAAAAAAATGTTTGTATTCACTGTTTCTTGTTTACATTGTCTGTATACATTTTTTCTAATTGAAATAAATGAAGACATTACATACATTACATACTTTGCTATTAATAAATATTGTAGACTTAATGTATACTTCGCATTTTGAAAAAATTATCACCATTGTGCAAAACAGTGCCCTTAAATTTTCCTACGGGCAATAATTTATTAAAAATACGTTAAAAATCTTTTGCAGAACTTTTTTCTACACATAGTTAATACTTACGCGTAGTTAATATTAATTATAAGTCGTATATTACTCATAAAATATAGATAATATGTGTATAACAATATTTCCGTTTTAAATTCCAGAGATAAAATCGAGAATTTCATAGACGAAAACAAGGCTTTGATAAAGCGGATGTACGGTTCTTTCACGGTACCTGGTGGGAACAGAGTGCGGCGAGCGCCAGGGGTGCCTGACGTGCACTCGGGCGATTCTTACTTCCGCCATGTTCGACAAGCGTCTAATACCAATCTACCTAATCCACAGAATGTTAATAGTACTGGCAGGTATGTCGAATATTACAAAAAAAAACAAAGATCCATGGCTTGTACAGTCGCTAGATGCGGAACGAGCGGTTTTCAGTTTCAAAATATCAGTGTCATGAAACGAAGAAATCAGGTGGCTTCGAAAACTTAAAAGCATTTGCGCACTACATCCGATTCGTATCCGTTCCGAATCCGAAAAATGATGGTCCAAAATGTCACAGGTGTCATTTTATCTTTTTTTCCAATCTCTCGGTGTACGAGCGATATTCGTATTTTCTCGGATTCGAAATGGACTTAAACTCAAGCAACAGCCGAAATGTGTCCAAGTTTTCTGGGTTTGTTTATACAAACCCAGATTATTCTCGGGTTCGGAATACGAATCGGTTGCAGCGCACTGTCGCGCAAAATGAAAAATTTTACCCAAAATTAATTAAGAAATTAAGAACAGGCGGTACGGGGTAAACCGTGGAAACTCTTAAAAAAATTACTAGGACACATTTTTAATCAAGCTGTAACATTTTTCTTCGAATATCATCCCCAGAGTAACGGAACAAGGTCCATCAATGAGTAGCTTCATTGCTACCTTGTACATGGCACTTGATTTGTTAGTTTCTCGACATTGAAACATTCTTTCGTTGACTAGTCAAATTAAATACTGAAGAACGCTCGCCATAAACAACTAATTTTTAATTTTGAGGACAATGATATCAAGATTCAATATATAACGCCTCGATAAATTGCACCCTTTTGTGCAATAGGCCGTATCTGCGAAAATGAGAATTTTTCAGGAGAGAGGAGAGAAATTAGTCGATAACTTTTATGCTTAAATAGGAGAGTGGTACATTTTCACAAATACACAATTTATTTCATGCACCTTTTACAAATTATTATCGAGTTCTTAGGTTTTCGCGATTGTTATCTACACATACGAAATGAAACTATCCAAATCGCGTATAAGTATTTGTTTTTCCTATTTTTATGACTTTCATATGATGAAACCACTTCAGACGTAAATCTAAAGTTCGCCCCCCCCCCCCCTCTCTTAGTGAAATTTTACGCCCCACGAATCATCCACCCTAAGGGTGGCTGTTCACGCATGAACATTCATTTTTACAAATAGCGCCTAAATTTCACTTAAGGAGCAATTATTTTAATGGTTGGTTTTGCTATTCTCCAACTCAAGGCGTTTTTCTCTCTCAATATACTTTGAGTAGTGAGAACCGATTTTTATTATTTTTATGTCAAGTCCTGTATAGTAACGAACTAGGGTATATTTCAATAAAACTTGACAAATAAATGTAATTCCACATACTTTTACGGTCGGTTTTTTTAGTACTCTGTACTGAGATTATTTCATTTTACATTTATAAAACCCATGTATCTAATTAACTAAAGTCCTCTACCCGCATGGGGCCAGCGTCACGAACTAGAATCTTAAAGCCTTTCCTTAAGGACACCCTTGCCCAACAGTGAAACGTATAATGGGTTGATGATCTATCCAATTACATACGCGGAATGCCAGTTGTCAGAAACAGACAAGTATATATATATATATTTTATAACATCAAGTGACGAGACGAACAAATCGTGCGCCTGATGGTAAGCTACACGCCTGTCCATCACAGTTACAGTGCCACTCAGAGCTTAATACTTACGAAGACACTTTTCTTCTTAAACGACCCATTCACTGACTGCAGGCAGTCTGCCGCGCAGTCAATAGCCTGCTCACATATTATCCTGCGTATGGCCCACGTATAGAGTCGCACAGGACGCATTGCAGGATTACTGGATGGCTTGCTCGCTGCGACTACATTGATAATCCTGCATTATGCGGTGGACGGCACGGCGGACTCCAATAGAGATAATGAATGCCCCCTTTTAGGGCAACTTTGTCTACCCCAGATCAGGGAACCATTTTGCCAGTACCTATCAAATGTACACTTAGACGAGATTTTCGAAATAGGATGGGATTTCCGCGATGAACGACGTGGTGTCGCCGCTGCCATGGCTTTATTTATTTAAACATTTTAGTACAGTACAATATAGTACAAATGGCGGACCTAATTTCATATGCCTATTCTCTATCAGTCGACCTTAGCGCCAAAAAGAAAAAAATAATAGGTTAAAGCTACGGTTAAAACAAAAATAACAAGACAGTTATTGATGAATTATAAGCCACAATTTTATAGATAATTTATGGGGTATAAAATAAATAACAACATAAACATACAATTGTCACAGCTTTCGCACTATCATAAGTACAATAAAAACCAGTCAATAGAACGTGGAAACTGTGACACTTTTTAATCAGGTTAATATACCTACCCATGAGCTATTTCTAAACTCGAACGTTTTAGAACTGTGTGAGAGATATATAATGGTTTCGATTTCAGGGTGGACGCATGTGAAAGTAAGACAGAGATCATGACACCGTATTGGGCACTGAACTCGGCGATGAAACTCCGGGCCATAGTGAACACTATGCATTTTGAGCAGGCCATTCATCAAGAAGTATGCAGGTACCATTTTTTACTTTTTTAAATGATATTCTAATGGTAAGGGACACGCCTATGCAGAACAATTGCAATCAGTTTAAATCACAAAGATCTGAGGATCACTGCCACTGCGCCCGTCGCCTTGAGACATAAGTTGACAAGTCCCATGTGCCTGTAATTTCACCGACACTCTTAGCCTTCAAAACAGGAACGGAGTAATGCTCACATTACTGCATGACGGCAGAAATAGGCAAGGTGGCAGTACTTCCCTGGACGAACTCTCATAAGAGGAGCTCTACTGCTACTGGAGTAAATAACAAAATGCCTGTTAAATTTTATAACATTTTACCTAATAATAATAATAATAATAATAATAAGTATTTTTAGATACCCTATGGTCCATTATATAGCGCTAATGTAAATGTTTACTGGGAAATTGTTAATGTGAAGGATATTCGCGATAGCGCGCACGACTGACGAACACAATCGCGCGGCCTTTCCCTCTTCCTTCCAACGTCTTTGCTGTATCACGCACGAAAGAGTGTCTGTGTAAAACCCGCTAATAAGTGATACATACCTACGTTTTGATATCCTCGGCGCCTTAGGAGGATAAAACTATCGGTTTAGAGAGATAACAAACAATTAAGAAACTAAACGTAATGTAACTTTTAAAAAAGTTAATAATACAATTTTTATTTATTTCATTTCAGTACAAAATCTACGTCAAGATGTTCCGGGGACTGCGGCTGTGAACAAAAATACAAGTGGCACCGGTTACTGGCGTATGATCCAAGTGATGATTGCGCTGGAATCTTCATGGACTGGTTTCTGTTCCCCTCATGCTGTGTCTGTCGATGTAACCCTTAACTTAAAAAAGTTTTTGATATCATTTCACGAACGGCCACAAGGTCTTGCATAAATTGTCACATTTTGATTTTTATGAAACATTATGGAGACGAGAGAGGTTCTATTTCAAATGGGAATTTTCATATTTTATGTAGGTGTCCATAAACGTATGGCCTTCAATACTTATAGAAGACAATTCATGCAGGTAAAACTTTGTTTGGTGTCGTACTGTCATTGAATATTTTCATAATAGATACCAACTTTCATTAGAGCTGTTTTTCGCCTATGAAAGAAAATTCATGGGTGAGAATTTCAATACAATTAACAATGACAAACCATCGCTTTTAATTGTAGGTTATTTGTAAATTACCTTGACATATTTTTTAAATTTCGATAAATTCTTTAGTTACCTAGCTTTTTCCTGCTTTACATATAAGTATACATATTTCTGTTGGTATATTTTTAGTAAATTATAACATGGATATTAGAGATACAATTATAACAATACACTGCCATTGTACAGTTAGATTATTAGTTTTAAAAATTGTATTTTCATAGCTTTACCTAATCTTAAATTAACAAACCACGTTAATCTAATTTAGTACTTATTGTATTTTATTTTACAGAATCGTTTTAAATGTTGTACTACTTTATATTATACAGATTTTGTACAGTCAATTTACAAAGAGGATAAATTTATCTTTGCTTAGCAAACAAAATTCAAATCGAAAGTCGTTGTTGTTTACTTTTGGACATTTCTATTTAAGAGCCAACCTATTTAAAAGCCAGGCTCTTGCCGACGTAGCCTCCACCACTCAATCGTGCTACATGTTCGGAAAATATTGTGCAGTGGTTTCCCGCTTGCCTTTTGCACCGGGATTCATCGGCTGATCGGTCGCCCCCTGATATGCGGTCAGAAGTTGTTTCTAAAAATCTTTCAACCGCCTTCTGCCGGTACTAGCACAAGAAAGTTTTTAAAATGGCGGCTTTTACTCGCCATGTCACAGTCGTTGTCATAGCTAGAACTTTTTGTAGTATTATATTTGGCAAACTCATTCTACTGGGTTCCCCATTACGTCCTGATAACGCTGCAGCTTTTCAATTGTGGATACAGACAAGAGATATACGTCTGTGGTTGTGGACTACTTATTCACTTTACGCAGCTAACCACCATATCTGGTGGCCGTTCACTATCCACAGCCTGTGACCCCTTTCGTAGCCTACAGCTCGGCCCCAATTCACGTAAAAATGAATGTCAATCAAAATAATATAACCAACATTATGCAATTTAATAAATAGAACACATATTACTAATAATAGCTTAAAATATCTTGTAATATACAATGATATTTCTAGTTTTTTCACCCTCCTTTGATTTTATTATTATATATATATATTATATTTTATTTTATTTGAAATTATTAGAATTGACTTATGCGGTGTTGTTTGCTAGGCCATTGTAGCTAAATACTATAAAAGTAAGTTTTTTTTAGTAAAGGTAGGCGTAGATTTGAATCTTTACTATGAGACAGACTTTTCGATATGCAGTACAACATTAATTAATGGAAAAATTCAATAGGGTATTTGACATGAGTCAAAAATTCAATATTTCACATTAGCGTTAAAAAATACGTGAATTGAAACTAAAACGTAAAAACAGATTGAAATTAGTCAATAACAAATCATAAAAAAGCAATTAAGTATAACATAAACCACATTAATTGCGTAATGGCACCGTACAGTCTACATTCTAATGATCGTTTCGATAACAAGAATGATGCATCATTCTCCTCGTTGACTTTAATCATTCATTCATATATCTGGTATTAGTTGATATCGAATTTAAGGTTCATATTCAGCATTCTTTCTTGAATAAAGTACCTACCTTAAAACTTTGTCAGTCCTTCCATGCTGAATCAAAATAAATATCTAGCTAGACTTATGTATAAAACTTTATAAGTGATTAAGTACCCATGTAGTTAAGTTTTTATTTTTAAGATAAGTACTCATATCATTTTAATTATATATATGTAGTAATTTACATGCCTACTTTATTTAAATTTATTACTTATAGCATCAAATACCAATACAAATGAGTGTATCTTGAATTATCTTGTCCTAAATAAAATCAAGGCTACTTCAAACAAATGTCGAGAACTTTTTTGTAAAATTCATTTAATTAGATAATTGTCAACATACATAGGTAATAATAATAAAGTACTACGAGAGTTTGCTTTTTTATTCCAGTAGCCGCCTAAGCGAATAGAAAATCGTTAGGAGTGTTCCTCAGGGTACAGTCAAAAGCACATCAAGCCCGTTCTTATCGGAAGCGGCTCATTGTTGGATTTTAGTCTTAAGTATCGAGCTTGACGTGCTCTTGACCCTATTCCTCTCTTCCGGTATTTTTCAATGCTTTTGGGCCACTCACTTCAAATTGCCGTAGTCAGACGACGCGCCGACTCACGGTTCATTAAAACGAGCATTGCAACCATTGACTTACAAATAAATTGCAACATAAATTTTATCTTCTACATAAGATTACAAATTTCTTAAACGAAAACTAAATAGACGGTTCACCAAGCGGCGCCGTACTGCACAGCGCGAGATTTGTAAAATGAAATGTAATTTAGGACACTATCTTTTGAAAATAAAATGTATGTATATGTATTACATGTCACTCAAAGTAGACCGATTGTACCTACCGGAAGGCCATTTTTTTCCTGTATCTACGCAAAAGGATCAAATTTTTTTTCTTGTAATATCAAGTGACGGGACGAACAAGTCGTACACCTGAGGTTAAGCTACACGCCTGTCCATAACAGTTGCAGTGCCACTCAGAGCTTTAAATCACAAAGATCCGAGGGGCATTGCCACTGCGCCCGTCACCCTCCCTGAGACAAGTTGACAAGTCCCAAATGCCTGTAATTTCACCACACTCTGTCTCTAGCACAGAAATCTAATAAGAAGAAAATCGATTGTCAATGTGGTTTTGTATAAAAATGAGTTATAGCGTTTTGACAAAATCATTACAATATCTGCGTCGGAACCGAAACAATTTACATTATTATGGAGAGACGACATCATTTAACCCGAGAAGTTATGATGCGAGCCGTCGGAATGTTGGAAGCTGGTTCCAGGCAACGTGCTGTGGCTTTCACTCTTAACACTACACAGATCGTCATAAGTCGCCTCTGGACGCGCTATCGCATGACGGGTAGCGTGGCCGAGCGACATGGAGGACGATCTCGCAACACGACTCGCAGACAGGACCGGTATATCCAAAATACTGCTCGACGGAATCGTACCATGACCGCCATGATGTTGGTTACGAGACACAGCTCCTCAGGCTTGCTAATAAGCGATCAAACAATCCGAAATCGTTTACGTGAAGTGGGTCTGCGATCCCGAAGGCCGCTCAGAGTTCCACCTATTGCACCCTGCAATCGCAGGACCCGTTTATGATGTGCTCGCGAACACAGAAACTGGGAGGAAGAAGACTGGCGCTATGTGTGCTTTTCGGATGAATCCCGCTTCGGTATGAGACCGGATACAAGACGTACTCGAGTTTGGAGAACATCTGGACGTCATGAACGTTTGAGATATTGTCAGGAAGTTCATCCATATGGTGGGGGAACAATAATGATATGGGCCGGTATTTGGATCGGCGGAAGAACCGATCTCATTTGGATCAGGAGTAATCTCAATGCTCAAGTTTACGCAGAGAGGATTGTTTCAGATGTTATCATCCCTTTGCGAGGCCAGTTGGGTGATTCATTTCAACTAATGCATGACAACGCACGTCCACACACGGCTAGAGTCGTAACACGCATTCTTGCCGAAGCTCGTATCAACGTTCTGCCGTGGCCTGCTCAATCGCCAGACCTCAATCCAATTGAGCACGCATGAGATATGCTTCAAAGAAGAGCTGTGCCGAGTATGCATACCGTACATACTCTACAACAATATTTTGACTACAACAATATTTTGACTTGTTACAAAACACATGGGCGGCCATTCCTCAAAGTGATTTTGATGAACTCATCTTAAGAATGCCAAATCGCTGTAATTGTGTGATTCGTGTTAATGGTGGAAATACAGATTATTAATTTTCTTATCTTTACAATAAAAATGAGCAAAATCATCATTTTCGCCATTTTTTTGTCATTTAATTGACGCCGTTAATTTGAGTTTTTTCCCACAATTTGCAAAAACATCAATTTTAGTTTATTTTTATTAAATATAGGGGTAAGCGGTTAAATAAAACATAAGCATTAAAGTAAGAAGTCGTCTGATCCCTAGACACTTTTGATGTGTGTATTTCTTTAATTATATATTAACAAGCAGAGTAAAGCCGCGTAAAGTCCAATACGCTGAGTAGATTTAATATTCTGTCATAGCCACCTCACATAACCACTATGAACAATTTAATAATTGGTCAATACCACTCCGACAGGGAGTGATCGAAAGTGGTAAAATGTCTCAGCCATTCCGAATGAAATTTTATACGATTTAGTATTAACTAATACTTTAAATTACGTTTAACTTTTGTATTTCGGTGTTTGTCATAGATTTAGTATACTAAATCTATGGTTTTTGTTATATTTTTAAGCTAATAACCGTATAGCCAATGCGCAACAAATAAAGAAAAAAATATTGACATGATAATGACATCTGTTTGTTTTGACAGTTTCTGCGTACATAGGTACTTATTTGGTTTAGGATAGAAAATTGTGATTATTTCATCTAAATAGTAGGAAATATGTTGCGGAATTCATTGCGGGTGTTGAAGTCGCGAAACCAATGTGGACGGCTATGTGCTACGGTTGTGGTCAGGTAATGATGTCGACGAACCTTACGAAATAAACTCATTTCATATCGTGGCGAGAAATACAATAATTATGTCGAAATTTCAGATTCAACTATGCAAAAGATTTTAGTGCTCTCTCTACACCAGTATTAGAGCACAAAAATGCTGTTAACAACCAAGTTTTAACCAGTATTTGTCCCTGCCGGACAATGTTTATCCAAACTCAAGATACGCCAAATCCTAACAGTTTGAAATTTTTACCAGGAACAAAGGTCCTGGAGCCTGGACAGACGATGGACTTTCCTAATATTGGAGCTGCACAATGCAGTCCTTTAGGTATTACATTTATTTGCTCACTTTTATGATACCTGTTTGATGGCTTCCGCTTATTAATGTAGTTAAAATTTATAAAATAAAAAGTAAAGCGCCGTAAAATTGAAGCAATTTCTATTATCACTTTTCCCTCTTTATTTTCACATACTAAGTCATTAGCTTTGCATTGTACAGAAGATCACAGAGCACATCAAACTAGACATTGATGTCTCTTATTCTGTTGCACTGGAGGCAATATTCCAACAACAGAGTACAGCTTGTGTGGTGCTGACTGTACATATGTTGTGATGTGTTTGATGAATATTTATACATAGCATTAAAAAATGGCATAAAATATACTATATGTCATCGGCTTAGTGCAAGAAGTCATTAATTGCCTTATAATTCATATGGCAATTAATGACTTCTTGCAATAAGTCGACAATGTTATGTTGAGTT